AAAAAAAAAAAAAAAAAAAAGAAAAGAAAATGGATTTCATGATATAGAAAACATACATAGGTTTGCTAACACTAGTCAGCTAAACGATCTAGAAACAATGAAACCTCAGTACCTCATCTAATGTCCAGATTTGGGTTCCTAGATACCACTGCCCTCTGAAAGGAAGGATGCTTGGAGAAAGCTGATTTCAGGTCTGGGACAAGGAAATACCTTAATTGTGCTAGAAGATAAGCATGTGCTCTTATACTTTTTGATGGGGACATGTCAAAAAGACAGGAGACAGGGCCAAGTGTGGTGGCTCACACCTCTAATCCTAGCACTTTGGGTGGCTGAGTCCAGAGGATTACTTGAGGCTAGGAGTTTAAGACCAACCTAATGAGATGCCCTCTCTACAAAAATACAAACAGGAGCCCAGTGTGGTGGCATATGCCTACAGTTCCAGCTACTCAGCAGGCTGAGGCAGGAGGATCACGGGGGCCCAGGAGTTTAAGAGTTTGAAGTTGTAATGAGCTATGATGACTGTACTCTAGGTCTGGTGCAGAGTGAGGCCCTATCTCAAGGAAGAAAAAAAAAAAAAAAAAGACAGGGACAGCTTGAAGGGGCTCCCATTGGCTATTTTGGGAAAAATTTTAAGTATCAAAAGCATTGTGTTGGTAATAAAAACAGGATCACATAATGATACTGTCTCTCTTTTATATTTTTACAAAGAGAAAATGATTAGCAACTGATGCGTCTAGGTGAAGAGTATGCTAGTGGCAATTGAACTATTCCTTCTACTTTTGTCTAAGTTGGAAATCATTTAAAACAAAAAGGTAGGAGGGCAAACAAAAGAAAATGATGAGATTCTACTTTAATATGGAAAAAGAAAGTTGGATAAACCCGAGGTAGCAAGGTAGAGATATAGGAATGCTAAGGTACTGAAGGTGGGAATTTGAACTTCCAGAGTTCAAATTGGCCACTCCTTAGTTAAATTAAATATATTATGACCCAGCAATTCTACTTATGGGTATATATTGATTGGTAGTAGTTCATTAAAACTTTTTATCAAATATTTCCAGCTTTGTATGCCCACCTAACAGGCACAATGTAAGGGTAGATGGCACACCTCTTGGGTACAGGACACAACTGCAACAGGGACTTCACCTAACAAATGCAAACACTGTGCCCTAATCATTTGTACCCTCATATTAATTTGACATAAAAAATATATACATTAAAAAATATATTTCCAGCTCAGTACCTTCCAAGTATACGAGAGGATTACATTTCCTCACTACCTAGAATGTTAGGTGTGGTTATATAAAATATGCTTTTACTAATGAAATGTAAATGGATATGACATGGTTTCTTCCCATTGTAATCATGAAAGCGTCTATTAGGGTGAAGTCTACATCAACCTGTATCTCACTTCATCTGGGTTGAAGATGTATGAGTATAAAATAAGTCTTGGCTGTGCTTTTTTAAAAATGGACAAATAATCTCTACTTTACAGGATGGTTGTGACAATTCTCTAAGAGAATGCAGCTAAAAGTTTCCAGTGTACTGACTTGGTGTGTGCATGGCAAATGTTAGTTTTCTCTTTGCTTTTCTCTCTCTTTCATTCTAACATGTGAGATATCGCCTTACCTGGATCTGCTGGAAGAAATGTGCGATATCTTGATCTGGCTGATTTCCAGAGGCCAGCATCCGACTTTTGTTCTCCATGAACTGCTGCAGCTTATCAGAGAGATGTTCAAACATCTCTGCTTGGGGCAGAAGCTTCTTTAGGGAGCTCTCCTTTTCTTGCTGCCGTAGACAGAGCTGTTCAAAGCGCTGGCTCACTTCTGCCAGTTTGCCCTGCAGCACTGCTGCTGTAGTGCTGTCTGCGGTCTCCATGAATCGAGTCACCATCTCACGGGTGGCTTCCAAGCTGCTCTTTTGCCGAGCAATGTCCTGCTTCAATTTCTGTCATCAAGAACATGTTTGTCAGTTCCTAGCTCACTTATTCCAGGATATCTGAGCCAAAAATGAGTATCAACAGGCTCACTTCCTCAAGTGGTGGCCCAATAATTGCAGCTTAGCCTTCTGAATACTATACATCTCATCCTCTTAGTTCCCCACTTCTTCCAACCACATGGTTTTGTTATTGTTACTTTCCCTCCAGCTTGGTTGCTTGGAAATTGGGTAGAAATATCTTTACATGGATTAGTTGTCATCTTTAAACCTATTAATCTTTTTTTGAGACAGTCTTACTATGTCACCCTCAATAGAGTGCTATGGGGTCACAGTTCACAGCAACCTCCAACTCTTGGGCTTAAATGATTCTTTTGCCTCAGCCTCCCAAGTAGCTGGGACTATAGGTGACCACCACAACACCTGGCTATTTTTTGTTGTTGTTGTTGTAATTGTCATTTTTGTTTGGCAGGTCCAGACTGGGTTCGAACCTGCCAGCTTCAGTATATGTGGCTGGCACCCTAGCTACTGAGCTACAGGCTCTGAGCAGTCATCTTTAAATCTTATATAGAAGATTCACAGAAGTCAATTTTTCTCCTGTTACCTTTTCAACATTATGTAATTATGCCACATGCAAACTCACCCTCTGTGCTAGCTTTGGGGACATAGGTCTTACCATATTAGTGGCTAGTGCTTCTTGGATGACTCCTGATGAGAGTGATGCCACCTGTTCCCCTTCCAGGTTTTGTTCAACTTCCCTGAGTGACTGCAGCAGGCTCTCCAGGCTTTCTTGGACACTCTGAGATCGAGCAATTGCCTTTTGCAGTAGAGCAGAGCGCTCAGCCAGGCTACAGGAAAGGCTTTGGAAGTGGCTGAGTATGGAATCTGGAAAATTGATGCCATAATCTGGAAACTACTTTGCATTGTGTTTTTATAAAGAATATATTGAAACTGCACATATTAATTGTAATAATAACTGAAATCAAGATAATAGAAGGAATAAGCTTGAAATGCCTTAGTATTGGAGCCAAACTCAATAAATATTAGTTATATAGCACCTACTAGGGCCAGAAATTGTACTGAAGATAATTAAGGTAAAGTCTCTGCTGTCTCCAAACTTAAGACTCCAAAACAGAAGATAGGCTGTGATTGTGTGAGGAAAGCACATCACAATCAAAAATAAAATCAAATCACAAGTGCTATCTTGCTTTTAGGAGTACTGGCCTAGAGAAGCCCAGAAGGAATAATAAATCTTATATTTCTTTTGAGGAATGTGGGTGGTGGTCAGGATCTTAGAAAGGAGGAACCTCTCATGTACATCTATTTTTTTGACAAATAAAAATTATATAAACTTAAGATGTACAACATGTTTTGATATGTGTACGTGCTATGGAATGGCTAAATCAGGCTATTTAATATATGTATTACCTCACATCATGCATGGTAGGCACTCACAAATGTTAGTAGTTGGGCAATGTAATGCAGGAGTAATGTAATGCAGAAATGACTGGTTTACTTGAGAAAGGAAGGGAAGTAGGATGTGATTAGAAGATAGATGCCAGGGGATAATAGGCTAAAACCACATTGTGAAGGTCCTTAATGATGCAAGAATAAAGTTCATTACAGGTTGAGCTGTTTGATAAGAGTCTACATCTATTCATTAGCACCTATCCTCAGCACCCAGCCTTGCACCACAGATATGTGCACAACATAATGTGATACATTGCAGAACAGAGCTACATACTAGGAATTAAGGGGGTACTACTACTTCATTACTGCTTTATACCTGTGGTTTCCTGAACATGCTTGTGGTCTGGGGCTGGCTCGCCTTCAATTTCCATGAGGTCATGAGCTACTTTTTGGAGCTTTTCTACAGGTACTTGGTGCTCAGCCAATTCTTCCTGCAACTGCTGCTTGTCCATGAAAAATGACAAAAGAAAAACATCTGAATAAACAAAGCTGATTCTAGGAACCAGCTACTGAACAACTTTATGAAATAATTTGTTTATCCGCAGCCATAGATAATAGAATAAAGTGTTTAGAAATCAGATTTTACCCAAGGCATCCCAACCACTGCCTTTAATCTACACAAGTTTTTGGTTTTCTTTGGACTAAGAGTGTTCTAAGTCATGCAATATGAGGCCTTGACACCCAAACACAGCAAGTGCCCTGACATACCTTTGTTGTTGCAAGCTGCTGCTGTAGGACCCCAGGATCAGAGGCAACAGTATCTGAGAGGAGCTTCTGTACACTGGCCTCACAAGTCTGCATCCAGGCCTGCAGGCTGTCAGCACTGCTTTGAAACTGCTGATACTGGGCTAGTAGCATGTTCAGGTGAGAGCCCAACCGCGTACACTGTGCCAAAGAAAGAAAGAGGAGCAGACCTCAGCAAGGTCATGCTGGGCACAGACTAAAGGGGCCTTGCTTTGTTACAAAGAATTCACTGAACTTCTGATAAGGATAACAACAGGACCCATGGATCAATGGGTTAGCAATAGTCTACAGCGTGGTCGTCATTGTTTGTTTCATACTATTCACTTCAACCTAACTATATATCCAGGAATATTTAATGAGTAGCATGACAAGCCACCAAAGAAATATACATCAGGTTGCAGGCAAAGATAGGGATTGAAAGATAAAAAATGTATTCCTTTGAAGAGATTAGAGATACTTCAGAAAGCATAAGACAGGAAGAACAACTGGCCAGATTATAAACTTTAGAAGCAAGTAGGAGTTCTTTGGAGAGGGGAAAAGATAAGGATTTACCTTAGATGTACTATCTAGGAATCTGGTTTAAGTTTCCCCTATGCTATGTTTCCTGGGAGCCAAAGTCTATTGGTCAGGATACAAAAAGGTGGGCGCCTCCACTACTGTTGTGAGACATATTCCTGACACTGCTAGAATCAGGCCTGTGGGCCTACATATTCAACTTTTCCCCCCTCTGAAACAGTTTTACTTTGTCGCTCTCAGCAGAATGCTGTTACATCATAGCTCACAGCAACCTCAAATTCGTGGGCTCGAGTGATCCTCTTGCTTCCCAAGTAGCTAGGACTACAGATGCCTGCCACATGCCCAGTGCTTTTTTTTCTTTTTTTTAGTGATGGGGTCTTGCTCTGGCTCAGGTTGCTCTCAAACTCCTGAGCTTAGGCAACCCACCTGCCTTGGCTTCCCAGAGTGAACCATAGTGCCTGGCCCTATTTTACTTTTTTTTTTTTTTTTGCATAACTCATGCAGACACCCTGCCTGTGGTCAATATACAAATCAGCTTGCCCACTATGTCCTGAGGTTCTGATTCTGAGCCCCTTAAACCCACAGTTGTAGGAGGGCTACCAGGAACCTCCCTCTTACCTTTGAATGGAGAGCAGTGTATCGTTCTGATGCATCCTTCAGCTTGTCCTTCACTAAGTTTCCAGTTGTTGATGGTTCTTGGCCTTCCTTAAAACTGATTACTGTGTCCAAGACTTTTTGTCCTGAGATAGTCACAAATCGCAAGTCTCCTTTGTGGGAAATGACGTCCTCTGAGAAGCTCCCCTGCCGCTTCAGCAGGGAGGGAAGGGCCTCAGGACTGCTGCTTCCCTTGTGCATGTTCTCCAGCTCTTTCTCAGACCGTTCAAGCCAACTCTCAAACTCCCTATGATCCTGCAGAAACTTCTGCAACTCATCCTGAAGTGTCTGCACTCGCTTCAGCTCTGCCTCTGACTGGGTCAGGCAAGTGGCATATTGCTCCTTCAGCTCTCCTAGCTTCCCTTGTAGCATCTGTCGTTCTTCAGGTGTAAGATTGTGGCCGTGTTGATCTAGGAAGGCTTGAGCTGACTGGGTGGCCAAGATGAAATTTTGCTGTTGGGACAGCAATTCCTGGTGATGGGCCTGGTAAATAATCCCCCCCAAAAAGGATGATCAGTAGGGAAGCAACAATAATTTGGTTATGAGTATAACTAGAAGTATTGGGGTATAGCTACCTCTATCTCAATACGCCACTTTCCCCAGATGCTCAGAAATTGCCAATATTTTTCACTGCTAAGCATTATGTCATATGCTGATCCCTGCTTAACTAACATATATAGGACTTTATAGTTTGGGGAATTTTTTGTGACACAGTCCCATTCTGTTGCCCCAGAGTGCTGTGGCATCGCATCAGCCTAGCTCACAGCAACCCCAAACACTTGAGTTCAAGTGATCCTCCTGCCTCAGCCTCCCAAGTAGCTGGGACTACAGGTGCCCACCATAATGCTTTGGCTAATTTTTTCTATTTGTAGTAGAGATAGGGGTCTCACTCTTATTCAGACTGGTCTCGAACTCCTAAGATCAAGTGATCCTACTGCCTCAACTTTCCAGAGTACTAGGATTGTAAGACTGAGCCACCACACCTGGCCAGAACTTATGTGTAATATCTCATCTAATTTGTGACACAACCTGCAACGTAGGTAGATAATCCCCATATTAAAGACAGGGAATGCCAAAAAGATGTTACATGTTGTAAGGTCATGCAGTTATTAAGGGACAGAGCTGTGATGAAGACTGGGAACACTGGTTCACTCCTGTAATCCCAGCACTTTGGGAGGCCAAGATGGGAGAACTGCTTGAGGGCAGAAGTTTGAAGCCAGCCTGGATCTGCTGGGGATCCAACAGAGCTAGATCCCCAACTCTACAAGAAACAGAAGAAATTGGCTGGGCATGGTGGTGCACACCTGTGGTCCCAGCTGTCTGGGAAGCTGAGGCTCCTACAGCCCAGGAATTTGAGGCTGCAGTGACCTAGGATCACATCCTCCACTGTACTCTAGCACAGGCAACAGAGCTAGATTCTGTCCCATAAAAAAACAAAAAGGCAACAACAACAAAAAACCTGTAGCTCTCTTCACTAAACTGTACCAATGGCCAACTAACAATTATCCACATTAATGGAAGGAGAAAGTAGCTGAATAAGCCATACATGATAACAGAAAAACTGAAAATGCTTAAGCCACGAAATACGTTACTCACATGTCTACAATTACTGTTCTACTACGACAGACTTTGAAAAATTAATTTGTTAAACAAAAAGCAAACTGTGTTTCTTCTGGATAGTGTAAGCAATTTGTACCTCTAGTTTGTATGTATAGGCTATGTCTACATGCTCATAATGTGGACCATATTTCTATACGAATGAAATATAAGTTCCTTGAGAAGAGTTGGGGGTTTTGATTTTGTTTTGAAACATGTTCTTCCTGATTCCAAGAGAAGACATTGGGAGCTCAGGCAGTGCTCCTGACTATCTGTACTATTTATGCAACTGCCTAGAGAAGGACTATAGCCTACATTTCTCCAAATATTTTCCAGTTTCGGCCTATATTGACAGGAACCTGACAGCCTCAGCACCCAATATCACCTCAAGAAAGCTGAAATGACAAGTATATCCTATTCAAATAGATAGCAGTACAAAACAGAACTATATTGTCTGTGTACTGCCTAGATATCACCTATTCTGATCCTCCAACCCATCTACCTACACATAAGGCAGTTCCTGACTTGGGATGAAGATGTTCCTTGGTCAGGCTTACTGCTGCAAGCAAGAGGAGTCAGGAGGTGCCCTGTGACAGAAGAACCATCTTTGCTCTGTGCTACTGTAAGACTATCAGGGCTTTAGGGAATATACAATGGATCTTCCAATACACAAGTGTCATGCAAGAGGCAGAAATCTTATTACTACAAAATCTAGCAATGACCAGCTGGACATCTGTAACTCAGTGGCTAGAGCGCCAGCCACATATACTGAAGCTGGTGGGTTGGAATCCAGCCTCAGCCTGCCAAACAACAATGACAACTGCAACCAAAAAATAGCTGGGCACAGTTGTGGCGGGTGCCTATAGTCCCAGCTATTTGGGAGGCTGAGGCAAGAGAATTGCTTAAGCTCAAGAATTAGTGGTTGCTGTGAGCTGTGACTCCACGGTCACTTTACTGAGGACAACAAAGTGAGACTCTGTCTCAAAAAAAAACTAAAAAAATATAGCAATGACCCACATAGACCACTGAACACAAGTATTATAGCGAAGCCAAATATTGTGCTGCAAAGTTGGCGCTACTAAAATATATGATCCATGTGTTTTGTAAGTACCTTAAAATATAATCGTCTTTCAATCAATCCAATATAATGTGCCTGTAGATGTCAGTGAATGTCCTAGGAGACAGTTTATTGAGTTGCTCACCAGTTTATTTTTAATTTCTGGCATATAGCAGCTACTCAGTATTTGCTGAATGAATGAATAAATGAGCAAAGATAAACAGTAAGAAATGATTTCTGATTTGTTGTTGTTTTGTTACAGAACAAGAACCCTATAAGAAATGGTTTCTGTTTTCAAGCCTAGCATCTGGAGGGAAATACAGACAAAAATATAATGTAGACTGAGAATGATACAACAGGGCAGAGCCTATGGCTCAGTGGGTATAGCACCGCCCCCATATACCAAGGGTGGCAGGTTCGAATCCGGCCCCGGTCAAACTGCAACAAAAAATAGCCAGGCGTTGTGGTGGGTACCTGTAGTCCCAGCTACTCAGGAGGCTGAGGCAAGAGAATCGCCTAAACCTAGGAATTGGAGGTTGCTATGAGCTGTGACACCATGGCACTCTACCAAGGGTGATAAAGTTAGACGCTTTCCCTAAAAAAAAGAAAAAAAGAAAAGAAAAAGAAAGAAAAAAATAGAATGATACAACAGAGGGAAGGAATAACACAAAACAAGGAGGAATATGTACCCTAACTTGGGGAGTGGTGAAGCAGGGTTTCCTAGAGGAGGTGAAATCTAAGCCGAGATTTGAAGAATGAACAAAAATTAACTGAGAGCTGGCCTACTCCCTTACTTTCTACATCGGAGAGGCAAGAAATTTCCACAAGAATGCAAAGGCTCAGAGTAAGAACACTGTACAGTTAGAGAACTGAAAGGGATTAGTAGAGCTAGAGACTCAAGTATAAAGGAAGGTGAGAGATAAGGCCAAATAAGTAGGAACAGATCCTGATGAGGGCTGAAGACTAAGTTTAGGCTTAATCTTAAGGGTAATAGGCAACCGTAAAAAAGGCAGGGACATGGATAACTTTGGAAGAGAAGTAAGAAGCATGGGATTTGGGAGTGTGAGAGAGAGAAGATTCTAGGATGATGCCTAGTTCAGGTGATTAAGTGAATACAGAAAGGAGAACATGTTTGATTATGCCAGGGGTATCATGGGAAATAAGTGTTCAATTTTCAGGCTGGGGTGCTTGGAGTCACAAGTTGCAAATAGGCAGATGGATTTATATACTTGTTTGAAGTGCAGGATAGGTATTAGGGCTGGAGAGAAATATATACATGGAATTTATTAATGTAAATGGTAATTGAAGTTATGTGAGTGGATAAGACTATCTAAGGAAGGTATTACATATTCTGAAAGATGAAAAGAGGAACTAGGATATATCTGGACGTATATAGTACTTTAAAAGCTAGCTAGATCATGGCAGAGTAGTGCCATGGAATCCAAGGGAGAAAGTATTTCAAGAAGAGTGGCCAACAGTGTCAAAGCTGATGGGGCATCAAAGAAGAATTGGACTTAGGGGCAAAAAGCTGTGGAGCCTTGACCAGGACAGGAGAGATTTCTCCAACATAGCGAGGACAAGCTAACATCCTCACCTTCATCTTCTCACATTGCCTGTCCAGTTTCTCTGGAGCTTGGTTCACCCCCATGTAACCATCAGTAGTATCCAAGGCTCCTTTGTCCAGACTAGCGGTTGAGAGTTGCTCCATTCTTGGAAAGCTTGTCTCTACCTGTCCTCCAGATGATCCCACTGAAGTCACCCAGTCCAAGAGAGCATCGATCTTACTCTTGTTCTCTTCTAGTTCTTTTGCTGCTTTACTCTGAAAGATACAGAGGTAGTTGAGTTAAGGCCTTAAATACCTCACCACAGAACCATAGGCTAAGAAAATGAAGGGAAATTTCAGCCAAAGTAAAAGAAAAGCTCTAAGACAGGTATAAATAGTCTTCACATATACAAAAAGGAATTAATACCTTCTAAAATCTGTTTAAAAATAATAACTTAAAACCCTTTCTAGATTTTATCTCTTAATGCATTAAAAAAAGAAAAAAACAGAGAAAATCTTAGGATTTAAAAAGACTTATTAAGAGATCACTTAGTCCTGCCACCCCAGCAAAGCTTCAAAGAATCCTCTCTAGATACATAGAAAAGGTGCACTGGGATATAGGGTAAGAAATGGCATAGTCACGTTCAATTATCTGGTTGCAGACTTCTATCATCCTTTTCTCAACCAAACAGAATACTAGCGCTTAAACTTGCCCCCCAAATTCTATTACAGGCTCTACAATCGTGGTTTTCAACCTTCCTAATGCCGTAATATATTTTCATTGTTAAAAAGGGGTCGCAACCCACACGTTGAGAACCACTGCTCTATAAGTATTTTCTTTTTCTTTCTTTTTTTTTTTTTGAGACAGGAGCCTCAAGCTGTCCCCCTGAGTAGAGTGCCGTTGCATCACAGCTCACAGCAACCTCCAACTTCTGGGCTCAAGCAAGTCTCCTGCCTTAGCCTCCCAAGTAGCTGGGACCACAGGCGTCTGCCACAGTGCCCGGCTATTTTTTGGTTGCAGCTGTCATTGTTTGGCAGGCTTGGGCTGGATTTGAACCCGCCACCTTGAGTGTACATGGCTGGCGCCTTAGCCACTTGAGCCACAGGTGCCGAGCCATCTATAAGTATTTTCATTGGTTAAATTGATTAAGCCAAGTTAAGCAATCACATATTTCAAAATTTACCTTCAGAATAACTTGAACTTCTTTTCCATGTTCTCTACCTCCCTCATTAACATCAGCGTCTGTGTCTGAACAAAGGATTCAAATTCGATCTTCTAGTGCTGAGTGACACACAGAAGACCATTTGGGACTTCTCTTTGGTTTATCCCATCATAACTATAGAGCAGTGTTTTTTAAACTTTTTTATCTCACTGCACACTTAGGGACACTTAAATTATGTTGATTTAAAAAGAGTAAAATAAAGGACTATACTTACTGTGCTTTGAAGTCTTTCTTTTGGAAATAATTTAATTAATGAGCTTTAAAAATTATTGTAGCATATTTAAGATCCTCACACAGCACACTGGTGTGTCACAGCACTCCAGCTGAAAATCACTGCTATAGAGACAGCTAAAGGATAGCCTGTGGCCCACTAAGATTCCACAGATAATTTCACTAGACTCTTGGATCATCAGTACAGATTCATCTTCAAAATATGTCATTTGCTTTTCCTCCCCAGGGTAGTACCCTTCCTAAGTTCTTTCTGACATTTTTCAATTAAAAAAAAAAAAATTGGCTCAATGCCTGTGGCTCAAGTGGCTAAGGCACCAGCCACATACACCTGAGCTGGCGGGTTTGTACCCAGCCTAGTCCCGCCAAACAATAATGACAGCTGCAACCAAAAAATAGCTGGGTGTTGTGGCAGGTGCCTGTGGTCCCAGCTACTTGGGAGGCAGAGGCAGGAAAAAAGCTTGAGCACAGGAGTTGGAAGTTGCTGTGAGCTGTGATGTTACAGCACTCAACCCAGGGCAACAGCTTTAGGCTCTGTATCCAAAAAAAAAAAAAAAAAACTTGGTACCTATATTTATGACTTAAAGTTCTTCTTGATGTTTCTTATAAAAATAAAGATTAACTCACTCACACACCAGCTTCTAAAGCAACCCTTCTTTGTGACTCTATGTATGCTCTTTACAAGATAGTTTTCCCTCATTATCTTTTCTTTCTGTAGGTGCCAAAATTTTCTTTTCTAAAAAATATCAAGTATCATAAACTGGTACCTTCTCAGTTTCGTGCTGTAAGGCTGAAGTCACTGCTTCCTCCAGCTCCTTCTGGGCTGCCCGTGTCCTTTCCTGGAGAGCCTCATACTGCTCCTTAGCCTGATGAAGTTTTTCCTGAAGAGCTGTCAACTCATGGGGGCTCAGCTTGGTCTGATTCTCTTCCAGGAACCCTTCGATGTCTTTAACAACAGTGGCAAATGAGGCAACATGATTCTGAATGTTGTCCCGTAAGTCCTTAATACATGAAAAGAGAAATGAGAGCCTTCAACTTTAGTACTTCAAAGTTCTCTAACAGTACAGAGATGGAATTGCTAGGATGACATATCTGTGTACAGTCCTTCACTCTAATTTGCTTAAGGTGTAGGCTTAGACCAATACAAATAAATTTCAAAATATTTAGTTTTCTAAGCAAACATATTGTGAAGATTAAAAAAAAGGGACACTGTTGATTTTGCAATGCATTATCTTCCTGTTGGTCTTTTATACTCTCTTGGTTATCACTCCTTGTCCTTAATGTGGTCTATAAGGTCCAGCGTGATATAGGTCCCACCTACTTCTCCAACCTCATCTTTCACTAATTTTCCTCTTGTTCTTTGCAATCTAGTTGAACTAGCTTTCTTTCAGTTTTTGGTTGTGTTGTGTTTGATCCCATCTTATCTCAAGACCAATGCATTAGCCTCTGCCTGGTATGTTCTCATCCTTCTCCCCTCCCTTCATGCATTAACCCTTACACATCTTTGATTGCTCATTTAAGGGACATTTCTTTAAAGTAATCTTTTCTGACATCCTAGACTAGACTAGGTTCTCTGTTCTCACATAACCTTTCCTTTATAGATATAGCAGTTAATAACTATATATTCATTTTTGTAATAACCTGTATGTCTGTCTCACTGGACTATGTGGCGTATTCATAAGGAAAGTGCCTGTTTACCATTGTTACTAACACTAAGCACCATGCCTAGCACATAACAAGCCTTTATAAATACCTATTGAAGGAATGAAAAAATGGACTAATTCACACTGACCTTTAAGTCACTTTGGTTCTTCTGCAAAGTAGCGAGATCCTGCTGGGTGACTCTGCCCTGGTGGCCCACCAGTGCTCTTTCTGTCTGTCCTACCCAGTTGCAAAGATCCTCTAGTTTCTTGTGACAGGTATTTTGTTGTTTCTGCAGGGTCTAATTAAAAGGCAAAGGTGTCAAAAGATAATTACTAATTGTGATTTCACAAATACAACATAACTTCCTGAAATATAAAACAGGAAGGTTATATCTCAAGGATGAAAAGTTAATGGAAGACTAGAACAGGACAAGGCACAGAAATCATATTCGGAAGCTCCCCTCATGTGGATAGTCTGTTGATCTGGGTCTATGGTCTGGATGATAAGAAGGAATAATTTGGGGAGGGATGCTCCTAGTTCAGGTTTTGGTTTAAGAGGTCCTTTGTCAGGCTGTTGCTATTATCTCACAAATGGAGAACAGAAAGCCCAGATGCTTGAAACCTACATCTGAGAATAATGGTGATAACATATTAGTGGTTCTGACCAATCCCTCCATTACAGTCAGAGGATTTGATATTTATTAACTTAAAATATGAAAAAGAACTAGAGTAGAAGGAGAAACTCAAAGACTAGGATAATTTATAATCTGAGCTTCTTAATAATTGAGCTGACTTTATAAATCAAATGCCTCACAAATGCAGACACTCATTATATAGAATGATTATATGTCACGTATGAGGGCTTAATTTGGCTATTTTGAGAAGGAAACTGCCAAGAATAGAACGGGCTTAGTCCTTTAGGTGTCTACATTGGAAAAGCCAGGCCCAAGGAGAGAGGGGAATATGTTTCTGTGCCTGATCCTTCGCCAGATCTCATCTCAGCTGCATGACTCTGAAGCACCTGGCCGAGCAATTGAGCATGATGTGTTTTCCTGACCATCCATCTAAAGCCATTTTCCACCAGTTTCTACCTTCTGATTGCATTTTAGTCACCTGCACTTACAAACAGGTGCCCAAATTGACCCTCTCTCCCCCTCTTTAGGACAAATAGAAGGGCACTGGAAGAGAACTCCTAAGAGCTCTTCAGCTGTAAAACACGATCTTCGTGGGTTAGGATGGGTGCAGACTGAATCTGAAAAAAGCAGAGCAAACAAGTTAACACAGAGACAAACACACACGTTCAGGGCAAATATAGAGAAAAGCAGAGCATTTCTAACAATAACAAGGTTAATAAACATCGTGGAATTAATTACGTGCTCAGGGAGAACGTCCACATGCAGTTCTATTGCTGCTGGAGCTCAGGGACCTAGCCTGGATCTGGGCTAGACCAGTGCTACTTCATTAACTATCCATAGGCCACACCATGCCAATTAAATCCCTGAGTTGGGGCATTGCAAATGTGCAGATTTGGAAAGTACCCTGAAGCATTTTCAATAGAGTTGAAAAAATGTGGCAGTTACAAGGCACATATGGCACTGACAAACCTAATTTCCTTGAGTCTGACTCAAAAGCTCAATTATACTTAACTCAATATTTAATAAAGGAGCCCCTGAGACAAATTTTCTGGTGATAATGATAATTCTGCTATTTTGCTGTATGCCAACCTATTATTCAAATAGCAGAAATGGCATAAGCATCATTCCAAGTATTCTAAGGTAACAATGTTATTGTTAATGCAATTATGTTTTGTTTTGCAAGAAAAGGTTGTGATGGAAGGTGACAGAATGTTTAGTTTTTGTATTTTTTTTTTTTTTTTGAGACAGAGCCCCAAGCTGTCACCCTGGGTAGAGTGCTGTGACATCACAGCTCACAGCAACCTCCAACTCCTAGGCTCAAGCGAGTCTCCTGCCTCAGCCTCCCAAGTAGCTGGGACCACAGGCGCCTGCCACAACGCCCGGCTATTTTTTGGCTGCAGCCATCACTGTTGTTTTGGCAGGCCCAGGCTGGATTTGAACCCGCCACCTTAGGTATATGTGGCTGGCGCCTTAGCCACTTGAGCCACAGGCGTTGAGCCTGTTTTTTATTTTTAATGGACTGCCCCTGCTTCCACACACTATTTTCCAGAAGTACTGGACACTATGGTGTGAAGAAGGTATAAGAAAATAAGAGTAATTTTTTTTTCTTGGAGATGCACTCTCACTCTGTCGCCTTGTAGCTCACAGAAACCTCAAACTTTTAGGCTCAATCAATCATCTTGCTGAGTAGATGGGACTATAGGCACCCACCATAATGCCCACCTAGTTTTTCTATTTTTGGTATAGACAGGGTCTCGCTCTTGCTCAGGCTAGTCTTAACCTCCTGAGCTCAGGCAATCTACCTGCCTCAGCCTTCCAGAGTGCTAGGATTACAGGCATCAGCCTCTGTGCCAGGACAAAAATAATAATCTAAAAGGAGCTATAAGATTAATATGATTCTAATAAAAAGTTCCTTGTTAACTGTTGGAAGATTGTTAAGGATTCTAATTGTAAGTCATTTGGAAAGCCCCAGAATAAAACTGATTTCAGAACCATTCTTCTCAAAATCTCAGAGTATGTAGATATCCTTGAGTATGTAGATATCCTTGAGTATATAGATATCCTTAACAGCCCTCAAAAGAAGGCTGAATTAGAAAGCAAAGGAAAGAAAGGACTAGGTACATGATTTTCATTTGAAAGCGCGAGGTGCAGTGAAGGAAGGGTCTCACTAAAAGAAAACACCTGCACATGCACACACATGAACATGTATATTCTCTCACACACAAAACCAAAAACACAGCAAGAAAACCAGCTGAATAGCTGTCTCCAGGACCAGAACCACAGTGTCCTGAATGGCATGAAATTTCAAAATTGATAAGCCCAGGCTCTCAAAATCACAATGCACGAAGTCTGGCCAGAAAACCCCAATACAGAGGACATCCCAAAAGACAAACTGAGCCCAGCTGCTGGATCAGTCTGACCTTAACCAGGGCTTCCTGCTCCATTTGTCGAAGATGGCCCTGTAAGGCATCCATCTGAGTTGAAGTCTGTTCCCAAAGGTCCTGGAAGGACCTCTGCAGCTCATTCAGAAGCCTCAGCATCTGTCGATTCTGCTGAGGGGACAAGTCTTGGGCATGCTCAGAGATAAAGAACTGAATGTCAAAAGCAAGAGCATCCAACTGAGACTTCCTTTCGGCCATGGGTTGTTTCAAATCCTAAGGTAAGCAGAGAAAGAAAAATAAAAGGATAAAACTTCCATTTCTCTATCTATGCAGAAGCTGTTGTTTCTCCAAAGAACCAACAGAACCAAAAAGGGGATAATTTCCTATGTTTTTATAATTGGTACTGATGATTCCATGGCCAGACAAAACGCTGGAAGTTTCTGTCACTTTTGGTTTCTGCAAACTTCTTATAAACTATAATTAAGTTTCCTTTGTGGGACCTTGATACAAAAACTTTTAATGATTTATCCTATTGCTAATTCCAAATATCCATAAATTAAAAAAAAAAGTTTTCTAAAGTATAACATGAATTTCTAGTCTGAGATATACCTGCCCATCTATATTTTATTAGGTTCAAATGCCTATTTGTGTTTATCCAGCAATGAATTACTGGTAGGCTAATACTGAGAAAATGTATCATTTATTTGTGAGTTACTACAACTTGATATTTAGAGTGAATAGTGGTATTTATAGATTTTTAAACTGTGAAGAATTAACAGTTCTTGTAACTGTCCAAACACTAAAATCATGTATTAAAAGGAATTTCCCCATAGACATTTAGTGATCATCAACTATGTTATATTGAATGCAATAAAAACAAGATATCTATAACTATCACTTTAAAACTGACAGTAGATCAATCTAGTGTAGTCAATCCCGCAAAGCAAGGAGGGAAGTTTTCTTGGATATTCATCATAAGACAAAGCTTCCTTCCTCGATGAACATACAGGTTTAGGAAACTATCGTGGGAAAACAAGGCCTAGACTATTGTTCTTGTCCCATAAGAGAAGTCATATAAATTATAACTAGTGAAAGGCCTAAATGCATGAGATGATCTGTTTTTATATCTCATACTTTATTGATTTTTTTCATGCTAGCTTCTTTATAATATCTTAGAAATAGACAGAAGTCTGCTAATTATATTTGGATAATGGGTATGAAAGAAAGAGACAGGTCAGCTCTTGCACAATAAAGAGGAATGCGTTATATATAAGATTAACCACGGACAAAATTTTATTTCCTCGTCTCTTAAGATTGGGGAAAAGGGAGAAGATAAAACAGAAGGAGGAGACATTTCTAGCTCTTTGCTGACTCTCTAAAGAGTTTAAGGAGAGAGATAAATCAATGTAATAACTGATATAATCTTAAATATAATAAAAATGAGAATAATGTTGGGGGGAACTCTCTGACTTACAAATTATCTCCGTCTTAACTTTTCTCTTTCTGACTAATAAAAAAAAAATCAATTTGGATATTAACAAGAAAGCATTTTTCTAGACTGTCAGTGAGCAAACTATGGCCCTTAGGCCAAATCTAGCTTGCCACCTATTTTTGTAAATAAAGTTTTATTGGAGCACATTTGCATCCATTTATTTATGTACTATCTATGGCAGCTTTAATATTTCCATGGAAGAGTTGAGTGTCTGCGGCAGAAATGGGCCATCTGCCTATGGCCCACAAAAGCCTAAAATATTTACTATCCTGCCCTTTACACAGAAAAAGTTTGCCAAGCCATGCTCTAGATCACTGATCAAAAATTTTCCTGAAATCGGGTTGTGTGTAGGATTAGATCTTGGGCAAAAGAAAAATAAAAGACAGATCCTAGATGCACAGTTATAAAGAGGAGAAGTAATTGATAATAATAGGTTACCTGGTCATTCTATAGAGTCTCTCAGAATAGCTGAAAGGATAAATCATCATAATCACCGAAGTTCCAGGGGTATGAAAACTAAACATAGCGGACTTTATGAAATGAAAAATAAGACTTTCTAAGAAATAAGTACAGATACTAGTTTGCCTAGCAAAAAAATAAAACTGATACAACTCAAAGGGCAAGTAAAATGTAGTTGAGAATGGGCAGAAGACGTACCTCATGTTGCCTGAGATAGTGATTCAGGCTGTCAACATCCATTTCATCACTACATCCCTTGCTCTTCAGCATAAGGGTGGTATTGCCAACCCAGGCTCTCAGATCTTGAAGTTTGCCTTCTAGTTGTAGGTGCTCATTTAACACTTTAGTCTAAGAAAGAGAAAAAAATCACATTATAAAAAAATCTCCAAGTTTGTCCAGACTCTGTGAGCCTTTATAAATAAAAACAAGGTGCTACCTTTTTTACTTCCACAACATTCTGGAATTGAAGTAACCTGGAACTCCAGGTGCCACTCACAGAGCTGAGAGACTTCTGAAGGTTCTTGGCATCCTTCTCCAGAGCCATCAACAGTTGAGCAGGGACTTCTTGAGGCTGGCTGATGATAATCTGATCCACACACTCCAATTCTTGACTGATCAAGGAGGATAGATCCTTTAGTTCCCTGTCTAAAACCTAGGGGGATAAAGTACAGTTACCTCCAAAATCAAGTCTAAAATCTTACTGTCTGGGAATCAGCTGTGAACACATTTCTGTCTTCTCTCAGGCTATGGCTTAGAAAACTAAGCCAGAACTAATGTTCTGATGTACATTAGTCTACTTGGTTCTCACAATCACTAATTCATGAGGTAGACATTATTTTTCTGGATTTACAGAAGACATGCCTCATCACTTAAAAATTTGAACTTTTTTGGCCCATCGTCATTCAGCTGGTGAGCAGTGAAGCCAGGACTTAAAATTCAGGTTTCCTGGCCCAGGGCAGCACTCCTTCCAATACAACTTGCTGCCTCTCCAAGAGTGTCACTACGCCTTTGCCAGGGAGCAGCTATGCAGAATTAATGTGCTACAAAACAAGTCAATCCAAAGAATGACTCTTCAACTCCAAATTCCAAAGGGGTGGGACCACAGAACATTAAAATATCCCAAACCAGCCTTTCCACTCAGCTAGTTGTAATACTACGTATTCAGATCCTCGACAGAGAAGCTAGAAGTAAGCCATGGAAGAGCTTGGTAGTTCCAAGCTCTTGGAACATCATTCTCACTTCTGCTCAGCTACCCTAACTGAGGCCACACTCTGAATACTGAAAGAAACCTCTATAATCTCTGTCCTCATCGTGACTCTGATCGGGGACAACTCTTAACCTCCAATTTCAGTGAAAGAACTATTCTTCCTCCCTGTCAAAGTCAGTTTTCTATATTCTCAGAGAATTGATTCTATCAATTATCACTTCCCCTCTCTTTTAACTTCAATTTTCCTTTTTTATTGGTGCTTTCTCCTCAGCCCCAAAATACCATTCAACACCTTCCTTTCAATCCATCTCCTCTAGCTTGTGTCCCACCTGCACTATAAAGATTCTGCATAATTCTACATTAATTATCTCTCTCCACTTTCCAACCTCTGATGTATTCCTGCTCCAAGTTAGTTTATATCCCACCACTCCACCAAGACTGTTCTTATCAAGATCAACAGCAGCCTTCCGGAGCTAAATCTCCCCTCTAGTCCCACTGTACTCTGTCTCTGAGCAGTTGATATTGCTAACTATAGCTCTTTTGCAGCTCTTCTCCTTTGGCTTCTGTGAGACAATGTTTCCTGGTGTTCTTCAGAGATGCCCATTTTTTCAATGCATTGCCTTTTATTTCATTTTATCTTTACCGGCAGGGATTCATTCTGTCACCCAGGCAGGAGTACAGTAGTGTAGTTATAGCTCACTGCAATCTTAAACTCCTGGGCTCAAAGTGATCTTCCTGCCTCAGTCTCCCAAGTCGCTGAGACTGTAGGTGTACACCCCCATACCCAGCTAATTTTTTTTTTAAGTTTTTTGTAGAAACAAGGTCTAACTATGTCGCCCAGGCTGGTTTTTAACTCCTGAGCTAAAGCAATTCTCTTGTCTCAGCCTCCCCAAATGTTAGGATTATAGGTGTGAGCTAACATGATTGGCAAGTTTTTGTCCTTTAAATGGTAGTGTTTTTGAGTATGTTTTTCTTCCTGAATAGTCTCTATTTCCTCCAAGTCCCTGTTTCTTTTCTACATTTTAACCTGACTTTTGTATTAGAAGCTTTGCAGACACTCATGTTTAAGAGCAATGCCCTAACTACAAACTCTATATGCAGACGTGGCCTGCTGGCTGTTGTCTTCACTGAGAGTAATAGAGTTGGACTATATAGCTGGGAAACACTCACATCACTATTATTAAGTCTTTCCTCTTGGGCTGTTCAAACCATGGAGGAAGGACAGATGAAGCTCAAGATTGAGTACATATTTGAACTTCCAGTTAACCTCGCTTATTTCAATATAGAATTCTTACCTGTAAGTGTGATTGCTCTCCCTAATCTAGAGATAGTCAATATTACTTTCCTCAAAGGACAAACCTCCAGTGTCCTGCTGGAGTAAGGCAACTGCCAGGTTATATGAATTAAGTTGGAAATCTAAAGGTCTAATTGCTTTGTAAACAAACATCAAAAAAGATTACAACCCAGTTTGCATATTCATCTTCTTCTCTTCTTTCCAGTGTGATCAAATTTTAAGGCTTTGGGGAGTTCTGCAGTGTAGACCAGGTTGTTACTTGGCTACCCCACTGCAAATTTAGGATCTTGTTTTCTCCAGTCTGCTAAGGCTCCTCCTCACACTCTGCTCTCTAACTTCTAAAATCTTACTACCCTTCCCCCCTATTCTTTGTGAGTTTATGCTTTTTTAAAAAACAAACAAACAAACAAACAATACCTTTTACTGATGTCTTAGTTGTGTTTGGAGAAGTAATAGATTAATTTGCATATCAATCTACTATTTTAAGCCCTCAACATTCCTTGCCAGAATTGCTACAACAGTTTCCTAGCCATTCTGCCTTTGAACTACCTTATTCAATCCAAGATCCCACAGATAATGGGTGGTAGTAATTAGATTCATAGCCATGTCTCTTCAAGCCTGTTCATTATAAATCTTGTCCAGTTTATCCAAACCTATCTCATCCCACGATTATCTCACAAGAGTCTGAGATTGTTTCCCCAGGAATAGAATGCCAAGCAAGTCTTATTAAGCCTTGAAATCTTCAAGGAAGATGGAGGCAACTATCTTGAAGCTGGTGTGCCTAGCTTCCAGTCTCTAGGAACCTACCTTGGCCTGACATAGGAGATCCTGCAGTTCAGCCAGGTTCAATTCCAGAGGCTGAATCTGTTTGGTCCTCATTTCAATGTCCCGTAACAAAGACAGATAGGATACAAGCTTCTCGTCATGTTCTAAACAGAGTCGACGGTTAAATACATTCTGTGAAGCCAAAAAGAAAACTCAGTTCTGACATTCTCCTTTAAGTTGGCTTTTAAAGCAAGCAGGTTTCTTGATGGACAAAACTTTTACTAAACATGGGGTAAAATAAAAGAAAACATATTATTTTTTAAAGTCATTTCAAGCCAGGCATTGTGGCAGGTGCCTGTAGTCCCAGCTACTTGGGAGGCTGAGGCAAGAGTATCACTTAAGCTGTGAGCTGTGATATCACCGCATTCTACTGAGGGTGACATAGTGAGACTCTGTCTCAAAAGAAAAAAAAAGTCATTCATATCAGTAGACAGATGTGATTTTACTAATTTCTTCAAAGAGCAAAATCTGGCTCAGTGCCTGTAGCTGAGCGGTTAGGTGCTAGCCACATACACCAGGGCTAGTGAGTTTGAACCCGGCCTGGGCCAGCTAAACAACAATGACAACTGCAACAAAAAATACCCGTGCATTGGTGGGCACCTGTAGTCCCAGTACTTGGGAGGGTAAGGCAGGAGAATCACCTAAGCCCAAGAATTTGAGGTTGCTCTGAGCTGTGATGCCACAGCACTCTACCAAGGGCGATACAGCGAGACTCTGTCTCAAAAAAAAAAAAGAGAAGAACCTCATAATTATCAATCTATAAGCATAATTTCAGAAAAATGTCCAAAAGCTATTCTGATTTTAGATAGTATTTCCAAGTACCTCAAATAAGTTTTAATGTTATTTCTAATTTAAAATTCTTGCAAAAGTTTTCAAAAGATATTCAGAGCCAATGTCTAATTTTCCAACACTGTATTATAAACAGATGATAAATTAAAGTTATATCTTGAAGAATCATCTAGTGCCCTAAAATATAATATATATGCATACAATTACACATACATAAACTTTGTATCCAGTTTAGCATTAAACTAGCTATGTCGTTAAAAAAAATGCAAATACATCACTGGGAAACTTACTTGAGTTGCTCTGAGGGGCTCTGGGTTTACATCTTCATTTCTCTTTCCCCCGGGTACATCATTACCCGGGCTCTCTGCGAGTCTTTCCTGTTGTGTCCTCTCATCTGTCTTCACTGTAGAGAATAATGTTAGAGACACTGTCTTTTCTTCACTAGTGATGGCATCCTGTTGCTCTGGAGGAAGGGACACTGAGACTGCAGGACCCCTCTGAGCCACTATGTCTTCAACAGACCCTACTTCTAAACCTGTAACCCCTGCAGGGTTTGCCATTTCTAGAAATTTCTCACTACTTATTTCCTGCATTCTGGCAAGTTCACGGTCACTTTTGCTGTCCTGATGATGAAGGTCCTTTCGGTCTGAGAATTTTAGATAATTTACTTCTTTTGTATCTACTCCAGAAACTTCTATTTCTTTCAGATTAAGAGCTCTTGTTGGGTCAAAAGGTACTTCTTGGTATGACATTTCTTTATACTCATTAGATGAGAAAACCAGATCTTTGGTTTCCTTAGTCTTAGAAATAACATGAGAATCTTGGTAATATTTGGTCTCCTGTCTGACGGTCCCTTGGAAAGACTTGTCTGTTTTGGATACTTGGGATGTATCTGTAACTTGGGCATTTTTAACAGATTCCTGGTAGTACAACCCTTCAGGTTTTCGGGTCACAGAAGGGAATGGTTCACTCTGGGTCCCATAAGTAATTTCTTGAGATAAATCTTCTTCTTGTTTTAAAGTCAAACTAAAACTTAAATTTTTCACTACCCCTTCACTGGCCTCTTTAGAGCTGAGGAACATTAAAGTACTTTGATTTTTTACAGGAATTCCTTTGGGAAACATTTGGGTAGAAGAGTCTTCAATTTTACCAACAGTAGACAATTCCATTTCCCTATCAGCTTCTTTCCCTTTTTCACTTAGAGTCATTTCCATAGGAGTGGAGTCATGCTCATCTCTCATGGCAGTTTCCCGATTCAATTTTTCTTCAGCCGATCTGCATGTTTTGGCACTCTCTTCAACATTCATCTCCTCCTTTTCATTCTCCCTTTTCACCCTGGTATTCACTCGTTGCTGCATAACCTGCTCACTCAGCAATTTGCCTGTGTGTTGCTCTTCTGAAATCATTTTCCCTTGATTTTCTCTTATTTCTCCAGAATCTAAATGTGAGGCAGACTGCTTCGTGTGAGGGACATTTTCTGTTTGTGTCACTACTTTTTCCTGCTCTTCATTTATATCTTTTTCCACGGTATTTTTAGTCACCTCTTTGAGTCTAAAATCACAAACTTCAGAGTGAGGGTGTGTTATTGACACCTGGCCTGAGGATTTACCTTTAAGATGAGGAGGAATTGTGGTGCTGACAAAGTCTGTAGCATTGGCAGATGTTTTCCACTCATCTTGATCCTTGTACCCCAGTTCCTTTAATGAAACTTCCTTGCTCTTTTCTGCCTGCTCCCTATCAGAAATTCTCACTTGAACCTTTTCCTGGGCAGACTTACTTTCAATTTGCAATAATCTCTCACTTTGTCTTTTATCACAATGTATTTCAACAGTCTGATTACAAGCAATAAACATTTCCTTTCCTAGAAATTCATTCTTTAACTCACATACTTCAATTCCACCTTCCTTTTCGGTCTGAGCCCTTTGATCACTGAACTCTAAAGTATCTATTTGGATCATAGTTGCTAGTTCAGGGCTAATCAACCCTTTCTTAATAGCTTCCTTCATAGTTACTCTCTGATCATTAAATACGTCAATAATTCCTCCACTTAACACCTGATGAGATGCAATGATTCTGAACATGTTCTCATCCAGCAATTTCTGTTCCAAAGCTGACCCCAATGTCAGTCTTTTTCCTGTAGCACTATCTATGATTCCACCACTATTTGCCTGAGCTTCCAGAATGTTCAGTGTAGGTGCAAAGTCTAGTTTTCCAAGCTGAACTGCTTGTGACAATGTAAGCACTCTGTCACTCACCCCATCTTTGATGTCTGAGAAGGGAATTACTTCTAGATATCTCTGGCCAGATTCAATATCAATCTTGCATTTCTTTACTAATTCTGAATAGGGAACAATTCTATAATTCTCAGGATCTACAATCCCATTCATCATTCCTGAAGACAATATTGCTTTATTAGTTAACAATCCTTCCTTTCTAGCTTCTGCCAAGGTCAATCTCTGGCCAGAAATGAGATCCACAAAGTTTCCAGAAAAGGCTTGAATTTCTTGAATTTCTCTTTTCAAGTCTGGGGTAATCAGACCTAATTTTATGGCTTGAGGAAGGAAAATAGTTTCCTTTGTTTCAGGGTGAGAAAACTGATGGAAGTTTAAATTTTCAACTTTTTTGAGTTGCTTGGCTAAATCTTCACCTATTAAGCCATGTTTAAAGGCATTATCAACAGAAAGCCTCATCCCAGATACATGGTGAATGACGCCTCCATCTACCACCTGCTTAGTCAACAAATGAATGGCCTCCTCTCTCTCCAAAAGACCTCTGTCAATAGACTGTACAACTGTTAAAGGAGCTTTGCTGTCAGGGTCTATAAATCCTGTTGTTTCCATTTGTAAACTAATTAATCTCTCCCTAACAGTTTTTTCAACATCTCTGCCTTTGGAAGCTTTCTCCAGATTAATAAGCTCTATTTGGTCAGCACTGTCCACCAAGCCAAGATTTGAGGCCAAAGTTACTGAAACTTTTTTGCCTCGTTTCAAGTCAACAATTCCCCCAGTCACCACTTGCCCCTCCAAAATCTTGGTGGCTGTTTCCTTGTCAATAAGCCCAACTGCAACTGCATCCTTTACAGAGCACAGTGTTTGAGTACGGGGGTCTAAGACACCACTTATAGCTTTGTCGGCCTTGAGGACATTATGTAATAATTTCTCATCCATGAGACCTTCACCAATGACTTCTTCAGTTGTCAAAGACTCACAGGTCTGAGAATCAAAGAAGCCCCGAAACATGTTCAGCTTTCCCATAAGTTTCACAGCAGTGTGGCTTGGCACAATGCCTTGAATGATTGCTTCATTTAGTAAGAGCTTTTGACCCGTTTGTTCATGAAGGATCCCACCATCTAGTAACTGTGCGGATAACACATTTAAGGTGGCTTCTTCTAGCAGTTCTGAAGGATGACTGCGTGACAGGGAAGTCTCACCACCATCACCCTCGTCAGTTTTTTCTAACGTCGTCATACTACCAGCTACCATGTTTTGTCCTTCTTGACTTTGTTTATGGCCATCATTGGCCAAAACTGTTTTATTTAGCACTTCCTTTTTGTCTAGAGAGTGAATATTCATAGCACTTTCAGACTTTACTTCTGATTTGATACCTAGAGTTTTCTCTGCTTGAAACTGTGACATTTTGTTTTGGGTTTTTATGAGAGGTCTTCCAGTTTCACCTGGAATATATTCAGTCTCAAGAGTGTTTGCTTGTTCTTTCTGACATGTAAAGGAGGTACTTGTAAAAGGCTGACATTCTTTCACTGAAGTTTCCACAGAAGAAAGATCTTTGTCAACCACCAAGCGCACACCTTCTGCTTCCCCAGGAGGTACTGTCAGGAGTCGTACCCTGCTGATGTCTTCTCTGGTAGACCTTTCTGTCTGGTCTTCCTTTTTGGTACCTAACAACTGCCTTTGTGACTCTGATTTGACTTTATTTATTACCTTCAAAGTGCCAACATTTGGATTTTTCTCTTTTTGTTCTCTTACAAACAGATCCTTTTCAGGGTTCTCTATAGAAGAACCTTCTGTTTCTGCAATGGTCCCTTCCCCTTTTGCTTCAATGCAGTCTTCCTGATCAGGATATTCTTTGTTCTGAGAAGAAAACTGGAACTCAGGTGGCCTCACAGTCAGCCCATCATTCAATGTTCCTGTGATTTTCACATTACCGGATTCTTGGAATTTCTTGGGAGTTTGTAGTCTTTGGTGCCCAATTCCAAGCACTTCTGGAGGATGGTAATCGCCACATGTTAGTGTCTCCATCAGCTCTTTATCTAACAGAAGCAGCCTCTGCCCATTCTGTACATTTACATAGCTGTGAGTCATCAGTTGAAACAACAGCTTCTCACTATGGCTTGCTATATGCTGGGATTGGCCCTCGCTGCACAGTCTAGATGCTGCTTCAGGATGAATGCTTGATTTATTTCTTTCTAAAGAGTCTGCTAATTGTACATGAGGCATTACATCAGGTATACGAATCAATTTTAAGTTATTGGCAAGATCTTTGTCCAAGATACCATTTTCTATTGCTTTCTCCCAGGACCAAATCTCTGTGTTTGCTGGTAGAAATAAAGCCTTAATATGCTGTCGGTTGCTAAGGATTTTATGTGCTAATTCACTAGACACAATACCTTGTTCTAAGGCATCTGTAACTGGGAGGATCTCTCCAGAGTCAGGCCATAACAAGCCCATGAATGACCACAGGGACTCCAGAATCACAAGAGCGATCTTAGCAGCTACCAGACCATTGCTTACTGCTTCATCGATTGTCAGCCTTTGCCCAGTGACAGTGTCTATGATGCCCCCAGTCTGAAGCTGCCTTATGAAAATAGCACAGGCCATATCTTGGTCAATCAAATTATGTCTCACAGCCTCTTCCACTGTTAGTCTGTGTCCCGTTCTTGGATCTACTATGCCACCAGCAAAAAGCTGAGCTTCTAGCAGCCGGACAGTCACCTGTCTATCTATTAGCCCTTCCTGAACTGCCCGGAAAATGCTAACCTTCCTGCTTGATTTCAAGCTCACCATTCCCCCTGCCAATTGCTTGACAGGGAGCAATTTCAACCCTGATTCCTGGTGGACGATACATCTCTGCATCAGATCCAGCAAACTGATTTTTTCAGCTGTGTTGGGGTCTATCAAGTTCTTGGATGATCTCAGATGAGACTCTAATACTGAATGAAGCCATGAAGAAATGAGCCCCTGATGAAAGGCTTCTTCCAGGTTAATACAGTTCCCACTAGCAGAGAGCCTGAAACCTCCAGTTGCCAGGTGAGCTTCTAAGATTTTCAGTCCAATTCTTTCACTGATTATTCTCTTTTCAATTGCTTCCACCACTGAAAGAGGGCCTTTGCTCTCAGTAAGCCTGCTTATTAAGGACAGGGCATCCTGTAGTTCCTGGAGGTGCTGGTACATCTGGGGATTAATGAGGTTTCTGGCAAGACCCTCCTCCAAAGAGAGGTTTTCACTGGTCTCAGGGGCAATGAGGCCAGACATGATAACCTGGGATTCTAGGAGCATAAGGCCTGTGTCTTGGTCAATAAGGCCCTTTTGCATGGCTCTGAAGACGGGAAATATCTCCACTGTGCCTAGGTCAATCACCCCAGCAACGGCTCTGGAATCCTAAAGGAAAAAATGAAAAAGAAAACTGAATCAGAGGCAATGTCAAAGCACAACTATTGTAAAGAGTCACTCAAAGAACTATAGCATAGGTTGGGCACAGTGGCTCACGGCTGTAATCCCAGCACTTTGGGAGGCTGAGGTGGGAGGATCCCTTAAGGTCAAGAGTTCAAGACCAGCCTGGGCAACATAGCAAGAACCTGTCTCTTCAATTAAAAAAAAAAAAAAAAAAAGGAACTATGGTATACATGTAAAAAATATGACTGTAAGAAAAACCTAGCCTATAGCCTGGGATAAGCATCATCATGTACGAAATATTCTGAAGCAAATCTGGCAGTATTAAAGCTTAAAATATTTTTCTCAACTGCAGAATGTTAAACAGAGCTAGAGGAAATTCGCAGATGGCTTGAAGGATAGCAGCATTAGCATATCAGAGTGACAAACTTCTACAAAGTGGCAAACAGTGAAAGTGAGAGAATAGTTGTTTCTAAGACTAAATAACCACAAAGGTTTTTATAGACACATACCAGTTTCCCCAAAGTGGGACAAATAACAACTTTTCACTGTTACAAAGCATGCAGGATACTCTGGAAGTAGTGCATCCCTGCTGATGACTACAGCAGGACTGGACCATAGAATAAGAAACATTGTGGCCAAACACCCACAGAACAGTTATGCATCCCAGTAAATGAGTCTGTGGACACTATTTAAGAAACTCTATAGCCATTGGGGCAGTCAAACTCCTGGCAGCCAATTCTAGCTTCTTCCAAAGCAGTGGCTTTGGCTTTAAGTCAAGGAAGAATCAGACTGAGTCCTTTGCCTCTGGAATTACTAGTAATTTTTCTTCTGCTCTGGCCTAGAATGGGTAGCATAACATCCATAATTACAGTTGCTACTTGTTATTAGATTTTTTAAGCACTGATATTTACACTTCAACAATGCTATGAAAACAATTAGGTTGTCCAAAGTCACAAAACCAGTGAGTTCCTTAAAAAAAAAAAAAAAAAAGTCAAGATCTGACTCTAAATCTTGTGCTATTATACTGCTTTCCCAGTCAAATCCATGAAGGATAAATATACATTACAGTCAGTTCTTACACAGGAGTTAGGTCCTAAGGTCAATGAGCAAGGTACATTATTTACACATTGTCAAAGTTATCCTACCCACTTAGAGCACATCATTAGCCTATTTGCTAACTTTTTAGCTCTTCTTGTTCATGTTCGTTATTTTTATTTGCCATTTATGATTTTATTTGTTCCTGGTTGTCAGTGTTACTTTCTGATCCTTACATGACTCTCTAACTTATCCATTGATTTCTTGAGGCAATTGCCAAGTACTTCCCTGCCTCTGAAATAATGCATTTATCTCGGTAAGAAGTAAGCTCCCAAGAGTAGATAAGTGGCCATGAGGCTCTAGGAACTATACCTGCAGTTCAATAAACATTTGATGAATAAATAGATGTATAATAAGGAAACCCTTAAAATTATTAAGCCATTTCCCATCCAGATTTTGAAAACATGTATGAAGGATTTCAAGCTTTATCAAATGAAAGAATGGTAGATTTGGTTTACATCTTCATTTCACTGTGTGTGTTCAATTAAAAGAATAACTGACAGACTCCTCCACAGTATTTAAGGTATTATGTTTCCCCCGTCCCTTTGTTTTCTGACCAAGAATGTGGAGTTCAATTTGTGTAAGATAAATGTGTATGTTTTATGAATTCACTATGTGTCTACTTTATAGAGATTGAAGGAAAAAGCTCAATGGCATATAACTCTTTGAGATACTTAAAACATTTCTTTTAGAAAATCCGTGTAAACTTGTAAAGGTTATTCAGAAGCAGATAATATGACAAAGAAGAAGATTCTTTTGAGGCTCGCACCTGTAGCTCAAGCAGCTAAGGTGCCAGCCACATACACCAAAGCTGGCAGGTTCAAATTCAGCTCAGGCCTGCCAAACAACAACAACTACAACCAAAAAATAGCTGGCCATTGTTGGTGGGCGCCTGTAACTCCAGCTACTTGGAAGGTTGAGGCAAGAGAAGTGCTTAAGCCCAGGAGTTGGAGGTTGCTGTGAGCTGTGATGTCATGGCACTCTATCCAGGGCAACAGCTTGAG